GGCTGTTGGCTCGGCACATAAATAATATAGAATTGAATTACTATTATTATTATTATTATTATTATTAGTTCTTAGTATGATGTCGCTCACCTGAATGCCTCCCTTAGTTCGTCTTCACCATCTGCACCTTTCATCTTCTTCGACATCATCTGCAAGAACTCGTTAAACTCGATGGTTCCATTACCATCTTGGTCTACCTCATTTACCATGTCTCTGAGTTCCGTTTCTAGGCAGATAACAAGAGATGGGTTAAATATGCTTTGAAATATAAACTTAATATTTTTTAAATAAGCAAATGAAGGAAATTCTTAAATCTAGCAAGAATAAAGTCCCTTGGGAGAGGACAGAATCACGAAAGGTTTTTCCCCAAATTGGAGCAGTGGGATTAAACGGGTTAGGGTGCACAATAAGCACTCCTATAAGATTTCTTGGTGTATTTACATATTACACCAATTATTACCGCTGCAATCACTGCTAACTTATAATCATCGTGTAATAAAATATACTGTAAGTCTACTGCCGTCTACTGAAGAGATACGTAATTACGGCAGGAAGTAAAAAGAGAAAACTCTTATCACAGAACGAACTGTCGTTAAAATTTCAAATTTTAAATTCGTTTAGTGGGGGGTGGAGTCCAATTGGGTCCACTCGACACGGCGGCCACTGATTGGCCTATTGTAGCCTGCCCCGGGTGATTATGATGATGGAGAATTTTGTGGAATGAAGATTGGTAGGGGAAACCGAAGTACTCGGAGAAAACCTACCCTAGCGCCACTCTGTCCACTACAAATCCAACTTGACCAGACCCGGGTTTGAATCCGGGCCGCCGCGGTGGGAAGCCAGCGACTAATCGCTTCTGCTATGGCGCGGTCAACTGTCGTTATCCTGTCTGAGAAACCATTATCACAGAGTTCCTTTAACCCATTTCGTCCGAACATTAATACAAGCACATAAACTTGGATTACTTGACATAACAGGAGACAGGGAGCACCGGTAACCGAGCGATTAAGATAATAATTGTGCCTCAGATTCTGCTACGCTCTAACACTGAGTATCGGCAGTTCCGAATATAAAAAGACCGTACTTTTTGTGGTTACGTATGCCATGAATAATTATGTTTCTTTTTTGTCGGTTTATCGCTACAATTAAGTACAGGGGTTTGTCACATCTGTCAAAAACCCAAGGAACTTCTCACACTGATGAGGTGTCTTGTAAAATTCGAAAGTAATTTCGTTACATAATCGAGTTGCCCAAAATTAAGTAACTGAAAAAAGCGAACAGTTAAATTAAGCGAAGAAAACATGAATATCTGAAACTATTACAAAGGCATGTTGTCCCTATGCGTAATTAACTACACGCCAAGCAATTAAGACGTAGAGAGGAGTGGAGTTATAATTTCACCATTCTTGATCTCGAAACTGGATGGAAGTGAATGGTTAGTTTTGCGCTCCGGCCGCTTTACCCCTGGGGAAATATCCCCCGGTACCCATTGGATAGGAGGATGGGTGGGCCTCACAGCCGCTCTGGACGTTGTGGAGTAGAGAAAAATCACTTCCTTCTACCGGCTAGACAACCACGGTTGTACAGCCAATAGCCATCACTATACCAACTGAGCTATTCCGGCTGTGCTTGAAGCTGGCGTACGTACTGGAATATTTAAACCTGCGGGAAGATTGTACATATTCTTCATAAAAGGTAAAATTGTTCTTGTGTTTAACTAATTAAGCACTACGCCATGAAGGCGTATGGGGGAGTGGATGTACAGGTCCACATTCTCTTGACCTCGGCCCTAGCTGAAGCTGAATAGCCAGCTTCACGCACCGGCCGCTTTACTCCCCAGGAAAGAGCCCCCGGTACGCAGTGAATAGGAGGTTGGGTGAACCCCAGAGCCCGGCTGGACAACGTGGAGAAGAGAAAATGCTCGACTCTACCGGAATTCGAGCTCCGACCCCTTAGTCGTCCAGCCCGTAGCCAGTCGCTATACTGATTACACTATCTCGGCTCCCCACATGCTCTTTATAGTTTTGAATATTGTTTAAAAAGGAGGGCCCCTTAAACCAATAAGGTTTTAGGAGGAATAACTGAAAGTAATTCTGTATCTTTTAATGGGTTGTTTTCTGGACTTCGTGTAACATCCGAAAACCGCAATTTACGAAATGGGCACTTTTGTAATTGGGTCATCGTGTAGTAATGGGAACGAAATAAACAATCTGAGAATTAATTCCCTCACTGCGGCCTCACAGTCACGTCACTTAATGCAGCTCTGCGCAAGACATGTAAAATTGACGCTTAATAGGAAAATCGTGGGTCAGTTTCTCTCTCCTTCCGTGTGTTTTATGTGACAAACTATTCAGTTGGTTTCGATAAAAAGTTATTTTGTATCTACATTAAGGTTGTCTAAGTTGCAAAAATGCTGGTGCGTATCGGTTATCCTATATTTACAAGACACTATATTAATTTACCCCCTCGTTGGTGTCTCCACCTTATCGTGGTGAGGGGGTTTGAGTATGCCAAGGACCCTGAGAGCTATACCAGCGGTAGCGTAGCTACTGGCAGGGCCTCCCTTGCTGGACAGGTCAAAGGGTAGGCATCAGACGAAGAGAGACACCAAAAACCAAAAACTGATGCCGGAAGCAGCGTCATCAGCAGCGACTTGAAGCACAGAACAAATGATGCTCGAGATGGTTCAAGTTCGTATAGCAACAGGCGTGACCAGAGTGGTTTGAACGGCTGTTGTACTGCGATGTGGAAAGCAAATGGAAAAACTACCACATTATCACTTTTCCTGGATAGTCTCTTTCCAAAAACAGAAGATCACATTAAGTGGAGGAACTGTTTTGGAAGAGACTGTGGACCTGTCATCTGACAGTTACTGATCAATCAATCAATATTAATTTACATGAAAATCAAATCTAAATTTATATATTTTTCAAAAGAGCAAAATTAAATGTAAAGTTGCTCCAGTACTTAATTAATTAATCATTACGTTATGAAGAAATATAGGGAGTGAAGTTATAGCTCAACCATTCTTGACCTTCTAAAGGGTTCATCGTACAAAAGAATGTTAACATATAACCGTAATAATATAAGGTCATAAAATTGATGGGAGTTTCATGTATGTTGCAGGCCAATAAGAAGTGGATTTTAGAATACATTTTGAAGTCACGAGTATGAGAAACAAAACTTCAATAATGTAATTTCACATTTACCAGATAGTTTAATGAAAGAATATAGGAAATATACACATGGCGTGATAGTTCTGACTCTAACGCACAGTTAGATCTTATTCGTGAATGCTGACAGTTGATTCTCTGAAAAGCGGTTAATACGAGTATATTAGTTGTAAAAATGCTCATGAGTCTATTTTAACATGCCTTTACGATCTGTATACAACATAACAGGATTCAAACCACGCATATGATTTTGTTCCTATGAGTAGAAATAGATAAGAGGCTGTGTTATTCTTCAAGCCCGTTCGGAAAACCAGTGTTGATTGTTTGATAATAACGTCAGAAAATATGCGCAGAATATAGGGTTTCTGGGACGCCCGATCACTTCTGTTCAATATCTCGAAGATTTTAATATTTCAAAAAAACTTTTGTTATACATAGAATCTGTGTTTCAGTCATCTCTGCAACGTTTGTCAAACACAGAATTTGAGTTTTAATCTTCCTTGCAACTCTTGTCAAACATAGAATTTGTTTAATTTTTTCTCACAGCGCTTGTCAGCCAAAGAATTTGTGATTTATTTGTCTCTATAACGTTTATTAAGTGTATAATATGTGTTTCGCTTTCTCTACAAAGTTTGTCGAGCATAGAGTTTGTTTCGTTTACCCTACAACGTTTCGACCATAGTATCCGTGTTTCATTTTCATCTACAACCTTCATCAGACACTGACTTAATGATCCATTTCCTCCACAACGTTTGTTGTGGAATCTGTGTTTCATTTCTTCCTACAGCGTCAATCTAAACAATATTTCTCTAGATAGAGATTATCGAATTAAGCTCGAGATGCGTTTCGACATTCATATAGGCTTCCATGTCAGATCTAAATTGGAATTTAAATGGCTCAACAAGTTTTGTTTCTCCAATATAAAATTTAATCGAAATTGTTTTATCCGCACTCCAGTTTTTTCACATGTCCAGAAGGGCGAACGGTGTGAGTTTAATAAGGGATCTGTAAGGATGCAAATGCTCCTAAAGACGAAAAGAAAGAAAACAAACTAGAAGAGAGATAAATTCACGGTGTTACTGAAAACGGTAGAGTTATTTAGCGCCGAATTATAGTACAGTGTACTTAACTGCAAATGAAACCTTAGGAGACTTGCGCAGTTCGGTATAGCCTTGTACCAAATTGCAAGTTGTAACATCTCACTGTGCCGGCAACAGCGCATTACGTAATCGCTACTGTTTCTATAAGTCACTTCTTAATGTCTTTGTCGGGAAATGAGTCATTTGTGGGAAGAGGTTCAGTACATTATTGCCATATCTGAGGGCTTTAATGTTTTGCCCATTAGTTCTGATGTATCTTGCCCTTATATATACGTAGTATCAGATGACACAGTATGATTACGGAACATTAGGCTCCTAATTTCAACCATCCCGCAAAGCACTTTTATTGCTTAGAACTTCTAGGAGGTCCCGACGACGAATCTAGGTTATCCTTCCTTGTCATTCTTGTCATTCTACCTGATATCCCAAAGCAACGCTAGGATAGTTTTTTAAAATAGGCATATATCCATAATTTTTCGATTTAATTTGGGTTTATCGGTTTATTTGATCCTTTATGCATTTTACTTCAGTCCTGTGTTTCGCTGCTGATGTATCTATGCCATTTTAATGAGAATATTTTGCTTCCAAAAGATGGTTTCTATTGAAAACTATTTCTGTTTACTGAACTGAATAAATTTCATTTATCTTTGGCAGATGGTGTTGATTCTGAACATTGTTCTTGTGGGAGGAATAAGAGCAGCACTACCACGTGGCCAGAATTTCTTGACGTCTTTTCCAGATGGAGACTAAAACAGAACCCATTTCAGAAACTTTCTGGTTTTATATAAAATTAAGGCGATGGACAAGTACAGCATAGTAGGCAATAACGAATCCTCCTATATCCTCCTCATTTCAATATTTCGAATCTTTCTCGTGTTTGGTGATATAACGTATAAAAGTTGCAGGGTGTCATTGTTGAAGCATCAATGCGAATAACGTAACTGATGTTTTTTTCTGATCTTAGTTAAAAACAAGTTTTCGTTATATTTATGAATTGGTATGAGAGACAATTTTATAGAATCCAGTACCTTCACTAAAAACTTAAAGAAACGGATACAAACCTGTGGGTCTCTGCCCCAGCGATCTCATGACTACGCCCAGCTCTGCCATGGTGATTGTACCATCTTCGTCTTTGTCGAATAGCATGAACGCTTCTTTGAATTCTGGAAAGAACATAACATTGTCATATAATGTAGTGGTATTTTTCTTTATTCATAATATTGTGTGCGATCTATGGTAATGTAAAAAACAAACCAAAATATAATTATAAAATATAACTCGCGAAACGAAATATGTGTATATTTCTGATACCAAAACTTGCAAAAAATTAAACTGTATTTAAGTTAAACTCAGCTCTGTTCACCAGTAAATTGACAGTTGATATATGTAGACTTCATTTGAAGCCTGCATTTTCGTAATAGAATGTATTTCCTTCTACATGTATGCATTAGATGTGTCGTATTTCGGAGTAAAGCAGAAGGAACTATTTCGTGTGTACCCGAGATTCGGAACATTACTCTAATTGCACTGTTTACAGTTTCTCATTATTAGTCATGTTCAACTTACTGATTTTATAATTGTTAATATCTATTATATTAATAACATTCAACATAACTGTGAAACAATTGAAAGTAACCGGGGTAAGGCAACGCCGATGCACCTACATTACTAAGTTTTGTCCAAGGGAAACCGCAAGTCCACTGACCATGTAAGGCAAACAAGATAAAGTTGAGCTTATGTTTAACTAATTAAGCACTACGCCATGAAGGTGTATGGGGGAGTGGATGTATAGATCCACATTTTCTTGACCTCAGCACTAGTTTAAGTTGTCAGCTTCACGCCCCAGCCGCTTTACCACCAGGGAAATAGCACCGATACCCATTGTGTGGACCTCGGAGCCGGCCTGGACGATATGGAGAAGAGAAAATTCTGAACCTACCGGGACTCGAACTCCGACCCCTCTGTCATCCAGCATGTAGGCAGTCGCTATTCTGACTACACTTCCCCGGTTCACCTGACTATATATATATTTAAAAAAAAAAAGGTAAAATTATTCCTGTAACAGAATTAAAAAAAAGTAAGTAAAGCTATCCCTGTAACAGGACGTTGAGGCACATAGGGTTGTGAGAGGTCGAGGTTCCCACATTTTCTAGACAATCGGCTCACAGATGGCGGTAAGACTGTCAACCTTACGCTCCTATCGTCTTTTACGCCCCAGGAAGATACCTGGTACTCATTTCTGTTAAAGGCTGAGTAGACCCCAGGGCCATAGTGCGGCTGCAAAGATTAGATCAATGGAAAAATGCAATTATCTCAACGGGAATCGAACGGCAACCTTCATGTTTGTAGCATAGTGCCTCAACCAACTACGCTACCACGTGCCCCTTATGTATGAATTACGGGTTCGAAAGAAGCAGTAAAGGCTCAGTTGGTTAAGCACACAGTCATGAAAACGCAAGGGAAGTGGAACTAATAGCTTCACGCATAACATAGAGGTGAGTGTTGGGATTCGATACCCACTGAATATGAGATTGTGTGGGTACCGGAAGCGACCTTGACGAATTTCCTAATAGGTACTAACGTGGAGAATGCAATAAAACTACTACACTTAATAAGTTGTCGGATTTCTGTAGTCGCACGTGTAAAATGTTGGGCATATTTCCGGATAAGGTCACTCCGTTACCTTCACATCACGATGACTGCCGATACAACTTGATATTGGAAGTATACAAGAAATGAATAATGAGAATGCTATTTGGAAGCTCATTGGATGATTAGAACTACTGTATCTAAAGCTGTAAGTCCCCCCCCCCATTGGCGCTACAGCCCCAGTGGGCCTAGGCCTACCTCCATGAAACTCTCGGGCTGTAAGATTAGTTTCGGTATTTTCTTGAATAAGCGTAAATTTGTACAATACTTTATATGAAGACAAGTGATACAGCCGCTGAGATCTCAACGGAAAATCTCATTACTTGTTACGCTATATAAGCTTTCGTGCAATTAATTCGTCATTTGTCACCCCATTTTCATTCCCAGTCCTACATGTTATCCATTTATATATCAAAGCATACAAGGTGTGGCAATAAAGAACCCGGATTACTTTTATGACTCATTTCCGGCCACGTCATTGACGAAGAGGATATTCAAAATTACTGAGTTTTCATACTTTGTCCATCATCCTGTATTCTAGAAACTAGAAAACACAACGTTTCGGAAACCGGATCTGTTTCCGTCTTCAGGTAAATGGGAAACACCTACTTTGTTGGGTCCCTTAGAAAGAGCTAACCTCAGTCACTAGTTTTTGGAATACCGGATGATGGACGAAGTCCGAAAACCCAGTAATTCTGATTGTTATAATATACCATCATCAGAATCCTTTTGAATCTACGTCTCCGTTATGTAGAAAATAAACAAGATTTCACATAAATATATAATCAATACTCAATGAACAGACACGAGAAGCACAAAGATACGGCTGCTCGTTTGTCCCTGACCTACTTAATTACTTACGTTCATGCAACATGTAAAACTCAACAATTGCTTCCTAGAGCAGGTCACGGTAGCCGAGCTGTCTAAGGCATGCACTGTCTTCGCTCACTCGGAAGCCGGGATCGTGGGTTCGAATCCCAATCAGGGCATGGATATTTGTGTGGGGTTTTCTGTGTTTGTGTACAGGTAGAGCCCTTGCGACGAGCTGATCACCCGCCCAAGGAGTCCTACCGTACGTCTAAGATCTAGTAAAACCCGAAGTGAACGGAGAGTTTCATGGAGGTAGGCCTAGGCCCAAAATGAGGGCTGTAGCGCCAATGAAATTTTTTTTTTCTAGGGTAACCTAAAAGGGTAAAAAGTCTCACGACTACAAAACGTGGCTATAGAATAACCTGTAAGAAAACGCGTATACCGAAATAACTAAACAAACAGCGATCTAACTAACTATCCAATAAAAAAAGTAAAGCTATCCCTGTCAAAGGCCGAGGAGGCCCATAGGGTTGTGAGACGTTGAGGTTCCCACATTTACTAGACAGTCGGCTTATAGACGGCAGTAAGGTTGTCAGCCTTACGCGCCGGCCGCCTTTTACCCCCAAGAATATTACTGGTACTCATTTCTGTTAGAGGCTGAGTCGACCCAAGCGCCATAGTGCGGCTGGAAGGATTAGGTGAATTGAAAAAATCCACCTCATCGGGATTCGATGCCGCGACCTTCAAGCTTGTAGCATAGTGCCTCAACCAACCACGCTACCGCGTACCCCTAACTATTCAAGGGGACTAACAATTATTCAGGTAGACAAGACCGGGTGTCAAATCAATCAAATCCATGCCCTCCCATGCTGTTTCTTTAAGACTCGTTTCCCCCTACGCTTATGTGTCCCACATGGCCTGTTTCTGTCACTACTTCCCATCAAAACGACATATGCATATGGCATGAATATTACATGTCGTGTCAGTCCGGTCATACATAATGTGATCGTCGTTATAATAAGCCATCGTTATCAAGGCGTATTGCCTTCTGAAGACAGTCACAACTGACCGAAACATGTAAAGGCAGTATATAAATATATACTATTTCACACTGGGCGGTGTGGTCAAATCATTTTATAATAAGTTAAAATATGTTTATTTATTACGCATTTGAATGTTCATCCTAGAATAACGTTTGAACAAATAGATGGAGTCTCATAACATTCATCCTAAATTCTTATTTTTGCTTTATCAACGTCATTAATACCAACACGATCTCCATGTGAAATTCTGAGGTGTACTACCTCCATTTCATGTAAGCCCCTGAAATTTAGTGTGACATACCTTTAGAGTTCATGTAAGACATTTGACATATAATTACATAAATTTATTCTGTGTTCTATTCAGTTGTAATTTCCGTATTAAGAAGAACTTATAGGATGTATAAATATCTCAAAATATTTAAATAAATTCTACGCGACGACGTTTGAAACTATATAATTTATACAGATAATCCTTTCATTCTCCAGAAAATATGTTTTAACTTCGTTTTTACACTAAATTAATCAATGGTCAATACTGAACATTATTACAACTAATTTTAATACAACTGTAATTATTAAAATTAAAAATTAAAACAAAACTTACCTGCTACTTGATCTTCTGTTAATCCGTACTCAGACTGCATGCAAATAAAAACACAAGATTAGACCCAGAACTGTTGAGATTGTAGTGAACAAAGTGTTCAAGTAGAGGGGAGACCATTGATAGGAAATGTCTAAATACAGACTTTTCTAAGAAACAGAGGGTCAATATATACAGCAATCATCACACACTTGAATAAACGCTAAGTTAGGTATGCTCCATCCAATATAGGAACGAGAATGCGTATCCACCTTAACCTTTAATATTAATCAAAATTCCATTAGAAAATCTTCGAAGGTAAGAATAAAACATCCGAAGAGCGCATTCTTCTGGCATGTGACACCGTGTAGCGACACATTTGTTTAAACAGTTTAAACAGCCCCTCTACCAACTACGCTACCGCGTGCTAAATTTTAACTACGTTACTTTCCTCAGAACTCTGGCATTCTTTATACAGATCTTATTAAACAATTTGCTGTTCTTTAATCTAAATCTTTTGTTACTTTTCCTCATGACACAACACTGTTAGGTTTAATATGGACTGTTACTTTCTCTTCCTCAGACAGCCAGCTCATGCTCTACAGAAACGTAGTTTCATCATACGTCGGATGTTCGAAATTCTCTTAAATCCGCTGACCCCAGAAGACTTTAACATCCATGGACCGTTTTCATCCTTACGTTTCCACAATGTCCATAAAAACAAGAGCGCGTGCGTGTATCTTAAAACTGAATACTTAATCCGACAGATGGCGTTAATTAGAGGAATTATTCAAAATGAACTAACCACATGGAGCTGGGTCCATTTTAAGAAGCCGTCAGTCACTCATCTACTCAAGGATTTCACAAAATTCTATGGAACCAGAAGCTTCACTCTCGTGTTCACAAGAGCCCTACACTTGTCCCTATCCTGAGCCAGACGAATCCAGTCCATGTCGCCACATCCTGTTTCTCTAACATAAGGAATATTTATAAACGTTTTAGTGCTTGTTCTTAAATTTATAAGGCCGATTACAGTGGCCTAGTGTACTAAGGCATGAAATGTTTTCACACGCTCAAACAGTGGAATTGTGAGTTCCCACTAGAAGCATGGATCTTTTCCTCCGGTTCTTATCTGCTTGTGTTGCCCTGTGTAGGTAGCGGTCCTGCGAAAGGGCCGACCTCTCCGTCCAGAGAGTCCTACAGACCCTACAGACTGTCTACAAAATGCATAGTTCCAGAAGAATGCTGATGGGTATAGGCCAGAAGGCCAAACACAAAAGGCAGAAGAAGCAAAAGTTTTATAAGCCGCTGGAAGAAGATTTCCAATCAGATATAGGTCAAGATTTTCAATCCCACTTTTTATTGTCACGTGAAAGCGTGATTATATAAGGGGTTTGGATTGGTAATCGGATTTATTGGACTCTTAAATACGCAACTCGTAACTACGCGTTACAAATCACTATCACACATATAGCAGTGTTCTCAGTCATGGTCTTCACTGCGCTGCTTGGTAGCGGCTTCCAACAGTGCAGCATCTCGGCTTCCGTGTCCAACGGCTCCTGTCCTCGTTGGCTGGCTCCTTTCATCTGCAGCTCCCGAGATGAACTAACTGGCTTCACAACGTATAAATGCCTTCTTATATAGCCTCGGTACGGACCACATAGAAAACACTTTTCCCAAAATTTCTTCTATTGTTTCATGACGTATATATAAGCACGACCAGCTTAGAGAACACCGCTTCCAAATTACTCCCCCGTTGCCTGTTATCAAGCTGCTGCCTAGTAACGGGGCGTCTTTGCAGAGCCTTTCTCTAGCAACGGCTGTTTGGTGGCTTCAGAGTTCTTGCCCGGAGCAAACATACCACAGTATTATATTTCGTTCTTGCGCAGTAAATATTTTTGTGTTCGCTGCGCAGAAGCTGCGAATGAAATCTGAAAGGAGGTGAACAAGTTTCATAATCTCTTATATAACCGCTGATTTATGTAAAATGTTGTTAATTGTTTAGTTTCTGTATTTTTCTCACTTCAGTATTATCATAAAGTTGTGGTAGTGTATAGATACTATAATTTTCCTGCATATGCCATACAGCAGAATACATTATACGTAAGCATTTTTTGTACACATACACGTGTATGTTGCATTTTCTTTATTCTTTGGTGTTGATTCTGTAATTACTTCTGTAGTTGATGAGTTAGCAAGTTAAATACAAAGAACCGACTCACCCTCATTTTGTGGTTACCTCATGTTATTGCCTGTATATACAAAAAATCGACAGTTAAGATGGCTGAATAATGAATTGAAAGGATTCTGGAAGGAAAAGGCCATAATCTATTCGAGTTGCCACCCAGAAATTTTCCTCAAGGGATGATTGAGAATTAGGTTAAAGGTAATATTATCAACTGGGTTTCATTAATTAAGCACCATGCCAAGAAGATGTACAAGGTATATAACTCTGTCATTCTTGAACTCGGCACTACTTGGAGGTGAGTGATTAGTTTCATGCTCCGACCCCTTTAACGTGTGAGAAATATCCTCGACTATCTTACACTGCATAATGCGTGCTATAATGTTCTAGAACTTCTCATCAGTTCTCGTAAAGTGTGAGGTAAGGGTTCACGGGGTTGCTATGGACCTACATAAATTGTCTGTAGTGATGTAAATGTTAGTATATCTGATTGCTATTCAAAATGATCCGGGTTCGAAATTTGGCCAGGAAACCAAATATCCCGCACGGCGATTTTCATGTTTCTCTTCAGTTCTTCTTTCAAATATGGGATATCATCTTAAATTGGGCCATAGTCGCTCCATTCTACATAATTTACAATCAATATACTTCATACTATTAGACTTTACATGCCTAGAACTCTTAATGTTTTTTTAAATCGCTTAGTGGGGGAGGGTGGAGTCCAACTGGGTCCACTCTGCACGGCGGCCACTGATTGACCTATTGTACTTGCCCTAGGTGATTATGATGATGAAGAATTTGATGGAATTAAGATTAGCAGGGGTAACCGAAGTACTTGGGGAAAACCTGCCCCAGCGCCTCTTTGTCCACCACAAATCCCACTTGACCAGACCCGGGATCGAACCCGGGCTGCCGCGGTGGGAAGCCAGTGACTAACCGCTTGAGCTATGGCGCGGCCCAAAAGCAACCTTACAGAGAAAAAGTTTCGTGACAGTGTATTTGAATTCCCACTGGAGTATGTGTTGCAAACTACGTACATTAAAAGTAGAATGTAGTAACTTTCTAATAATGACGTAAGGGTCCACGTCACTAAACTATGATGACGGATTCTTGTTCTCGTCGTAGATTTAGTATATTAGGAAAGTAAGCTATGGTGAATATGCAGTCAAAGTCACAGACGACGAACAGCAAGCATGATCAATGACACAGCGTGAACGGAAAATCCAGCGCGCAATCAATGAGTTCAACTGATTAGCGAATGTAACTAATTTACTGCATCGAGTTCAGCGACAACGTTCATTAGCTCCTCTGTGTCAGTGGCCGTGACAAAGTCACTGAACCGTGTGGCTGATACCCACGTGACAGTTTAAGTGGTATCAGACGCCTCGACATCTTACGTTAAGTAGACAGGTCTGAGCTTAATGCTCCTCGGAACATCTTAAATTGTTCTAGGAAAATCTGGGTCACGTGTTTGTGGGGCAGGGCATACAAGGTTACAGATTGCAACTCCCTATATCAATTCTGTCACGGAGCTGGGATAGCGCAGTCGGTATAGCGACTGGCTTCGGGCTGCACGATCGAGAGGAGGGACTTCGAGTCCCACTAGGGGCAAGAATGTTGTCTTCTCCAAGTCATCCAGACCGGCTTTGGGGTTCACCCAACCTCTCATCCAATGGGTACCGGGGGCTCTTTCCCCGGGGGAAAGTCATCCGGTTTTCGGGCCGAGATTTGAACTAGAGACCTTTCGAATATGAAATGGGAGTTCTACATGTCGACCATGACTTTTGGTTTCATAAGTTGTGCTTTCTCACATAATATTGCTATGGTTAGGTTAGGAACGATGCGAAATCCACACAAAATTTTCTCGAAAAATCTCAAGAGAACGAGGCTCTATGCACACGCTGGAAATTAATGTTGAAACTGACGAAGTGTACTGAACTTAACTGGCTCACGATAAGGTCCAATGGATGGCATTTGTGAACACGGTATTTGAAATTATGATTTGATATACACGGGTAATTCCTTCATCAGTTATTTAGCTCTTAGTTTTCAATGATTATCCTGAGAAATGAACTTATTACTGTATTTTTGACAGAATAAAGTATAGACAGTACTTCACGGTATGGAACTTCAGCTACATATTTCAATGGAGGTCACTAATGACATTGCTGTGAACCTCTCTCCATCCTTATATTCACTCAGCGCTGTCGGGATTTTCGGTTATCTCGTCAGAGAATAAAGATGTAGGTGTCTGGTGAATCAAGAAAAATTTAAGAGAAGAAGAAGATATGAGGTACATAATAATTCGTTATGGAGACTAAAGCAATTCACGGAAGAAACACACAGGTAATCTCTGTGCACAAGCATCTGGTAATGCTTGAAATTGTGAGTGAAATTTGAGGACAAGGTTAGAAAAATTATTTTATATTAACTTTGCAAGAAAATGTACATAGTCATAAAGTTGGTTCAGTAATATGCATATAACCTTAGAGTAACACTGACTGAAATTGTATTAATTTAACAGAAAACTGAAATAATACTGAGAAACGATGCGTATGGAAAACAGGAATTCTTTGAAAATAGACAGAAACCTTGCATATGAATTTCAAATAAATGTATATAATTTATTTACTTATTTTTGTCTTTGGAGTTGTGACCATAAAACTGATTTGCCAATTTTCTTTTCTATAATTGTAATTTACTCACGGACTGCTGCCTCACTTCGTAAGCATCCTTTAAACTCCGTAGTCGATGATACTCGTGGCCGTATTTGTCATAGCATGCTTCCGTTTCCGCCATTTTGTCATATTCTATTGGAATTTCACACTAAACTCTTCTCTAATGCAGTGTCACTTTAATAATACGGTATGAAT